CCAACACCTTAACTGTACACCCTAAACCCCAAACACCTAAGCACCTAAAACCAACACCCTAAGACCAAATCCCTAAACCCTAAACCCTAAACCCTAAACCCTAAACCCTAAACCCTAAACCCTAAACCCTAAACCCTAAACCCTAAGACCAAATCCCTACAGGCCTAAGCAATAGGTCCCTGGGCCCGAGGAACATGGTTTCATGCTCGGCTTGGGAAGACTTGCTCGCACCATCCTCGATGAGCTCAGGAGACTAGGGGGTGTAATGTTTAGGGGTTTAGGGTTTAGGGTTTAGGGTTTAGGGTTTAGGGTTTAGGGTTTAGGGTTTAGGGTTTAGGGTTTAGGGTTTAGGGTTTAGGGTTTAGGAGAGGGAGGGCTCACAGGAGGTTGTTCTTCTGGGGGGTTGGGGGTTTAGGGCTTTTGGGGTTTGGGGGTTTTCGGGCTTTTGGGTTTTCAGAGTTTTGCTGCCACTTTAGGGTCGAGAGATGGTGAACAAGCAAGTTAACAAGCAAGCAAAGGGCACAGAAACGACAACTCTTAGTATCATCTCAGGACGGGATGCCATCTCAGGACATGGCATAACATGTATATAGCCGCCAGAGCCGCGTGGCTAATCCACACTGTAGGGGGCATGGTCAAGTTCCAGCCGAATGTGTGATTTTTCGTGGGTTTCTCTAGTCTCAGACACCATTGCCCAGTTGCACTCCAGTTTCAAACTCGTCTCTGACTCCACTTCAGACTGGGCGCAACACTCAAACCGGGTTTGTGGCTCTGACATCTGGCCCTTGGTGCTGGTTTCAATGGAGGAGCCCAGCGGTTCGGGTTAATGGTGTGCTCTGTTTAGTAGCCTTTGTCTTGAGGGTTTAAGGTAGTAGGGTTTAGGCTTTAGGTGGCTCCGGACTGATCCGGGCCACCCAAACGCCTTGGAAAGCTGCTTGGGGCCTTATTTCGTAAGCAAATGTGAGCAGGAAGGCGGAACGCAAACCTAAACCCTAAACCCGAAACCCGAAACCCTAAACCCTAAACCCTAAACCCTAAACCCTAAACCCTAAACCCTAAACCCTAAACCCTAAACCCTAATCCCTAATCCCTAAACCCTAAACCCTAAACCCTAAACCCTAAACCCCGCCCCGCTCCCCCTACGCCAAAGCGCCACTATCCTGAAGCCTGCGCAGCGAAATGTTTTTTGAGGAGGCTGGTTCCTGCTCAGATGCCTCAGTGCACTCCACAGGCTGCAGGGTGGGGGTTGTAGGGTTTAGGGTTTAGGGTTTAGGGTGTATGGTTTAGGGTTAGGGTGTAGGGTGTAGGGTGAGGGTGTAGGGTTTAGGGTTTAGGGTTTGAGTTTAGGGGGGGAGGGGGGGTTTTAGGGATTTAGAGTATTTTGTTTTTGTTTTTCCTTTGAGGCGATTTGGGCTTATGATAGACGGATGTAGGGCTTTAGGGATTTAGGTTATGGGGTTTAGGGGTTGCGGGTTCTCGGATTTTGGGTATGGAATGCTGTGAATCTGCTCAATCCTGAAAGTATCTTTGGTCTCCGTGTTAATTAACTACAGGCCATACACAGAGAAAGTACTTGCAAATGACTTGTCATCATCCACAATTTATAGGATTCTTAAGGAAGGGGGGGGTTCAAGGGGGTATGTAACCCAAGGTTCCCTACTACTCCCCACTACTCCCGAGGGCTCCCTACGATTCCCTAAGGTTCCCGTGGTACCCTATCCCCCATGAATTTTGCTGCCCTGAACCCTAAACCCTACACCCTAAACCCTAAACCCTAAACCCTAAACCCTAAACCCTAAACCCTAAACCCTAAACCCTAAATGATGGAGGTGCGCAGTGCTCATGACCAACTTGACTGCATCGAAGCTCGCTCAAGGACAGCGTTGGCTACAAAACGCATTCCGGGGCAGGAGTTGGTAAACCCCACGCCCTAAACCCCAAAAGGGTTTAGGGTTTAGGGTTTAGGGTTGAGGGTTGAGGGTTTAGGGTTTAGGGTTTAGGGTAAACCCCAAATCATAAACCCTAAACCCTGAAGCATCCGACTCCCAAACGCCCTGTGCCCAGTAGTGAGCCCTGAACTCGAACCGTGTTTTCGACCCTTCTTCCACTGCAGTGGCGTTGTTTCCGGGTTGCATGGGCTGACGCTGGCGAGTTAGAACTGAAGGAGAGAGGGTTTAGGATTGAGGTACGGGTTGCTGCACAGGCTCAGGGTTTAGGGTTTAGGGTTAAGGGTTTAGGGTTTCTGCACAGGTTCTGACGACCGCTGAGGTACAAGAAGGAGCTTCCATCCCGCGCAGCGGCTTGCTCTGGGCTCCTCTCAGAAACCCTAAAACCCAATTAAGGCCTTTACGGTGCTAGGCATGTCGAGCCACACGCATGCCTAGGAGAGTGTCAAGGGCCCCAAACCTACATCCCCAAAGCCCCTGACCCTAAACCCTAAACCCTAAACCCTAAACCCTAAACCCTAAACCCTAAACCCTAAACCCTAAACCCTAAACCCTAAACTGAGGCCTCGCCGAGAGAAGTAGGGTTCTTCATGGAGGCATTCCTTGCTTCCCAGGTAGGCCCTTGGGACATGTTGGATCTTCCCTGTTGGCTTCCCTAAACCCTAAACCCGAAACCCTAAACCCTAAACCCTAAACACTTTAAGAGGATCAACTGTAGGATGTTTCTAGTGGGTTTGAAGGGCCATCCTAGCTTCATGCAGCCTCTTTGTAAGCATAGGGCTACTTAAGACTAAACCCTAAACCCTAAACCCTAAACCCCAAACCCCAAACCCTAAACCCTAAACCCTAAACCCTAAACCCGAAGACACCTCGAAGCGGTGGAGCCCAGATGTGCCTATGTTTGCATCGTCGGACACGCCTGCTTCTCGGGGGGCGGGAGGGGGGATACCCCCCTGCTGCTGCACAGCTGCCGTAGCCCTGCTGCCGACACTCCACAGTTTGGGCTTGCAGGGTGTGATTACAAGCCCTAAACCCTAAACCCTAAACCCTAAACCCTAAACCCTAAACCCTAAACCCTAAACCCTAAACCCTAAACCCTAAACCCCTCCTAAGACCCCAAAAAGCAGGTGGAGCAAACCGAAGTGAGTTGAGCCCTATAGTTGGTTTGCCAGGACCCAGAGTAGGCCTTTCTTCCTTTCTTGCTTTCTTGAAACCCTAAACCCTAAACCCTAAACCCTAAACCCTAAACCCTAAACCCCTAATCTTTAAAGCTTCACTGTTAGAAGCCCCTTTCAACCAAAAGCGGAGTATTTTGGGTATTCCTTGATTGTGTCCTAGGTTACTCTCGGGTCGAGCTTAGGGTGCAACGGTTTAGGTCAAGCCCTAAACCCTAAACCCTAAACCCTAAACCCTAAACCCTAAACCCTAAACCCCAAACCCCAAACCCAGCTCCCCTGGATTCATGTCTGGGAATCAGAACCCCCGGGATTCTTTGCATGGGTGCAACTCCCCAGTCCCCAGGCCCTATAGGGCTTATTCTAAATCCCTAATCCCTAAACCCCATAGGCTGCATAAGCCCTAAATGACCCTAAACCCTAAACCCTAAACCCTAAATGACATTCTGAAGTATTCCCTGAGCCTGGCAGCCCACCCTACACTCTAAAGCAAAGGTGCCAGACCCACGTGCCCCAGCGTGACTACTGCGCACATGGCTGCCCCTTAAACCCTGAAACCCCCAAACCCTTAAACCCTTTAACCCTTAAACCCACAAAAACATATATATGTATATATATATATGTATATGTATATATGTATATATACATACACTGAAGCTCTAAACCCAACCCAAAACCCAGCAGCCTAAACCCAATCCGAATTCAAGCCTGACCCCGTCCCTGCATGTGGCCGCTTCTCTCAACTCGTCTAAACCCTAGGGTTTAAGGGTTTAGGGTTTAGGGTTCTGAGCCCTAAACCCTAAACCCCAAACCCTAAACCCTAAACCCTAAAAAACCTTTACGAACCCTAAAACCCTTTAAGGTTTAAGGGTTTAGGGTTTAGGGTTCTGAGCCCCAAGTCCTGAATTCAGCCAACCCAAGCTGCGGCCTGTTGGAGACATTTTCTCAAGAAGTTCTCGAAAGTTGCAGTTCCAAGGGCATGCCTTTCCTGCGCAGACCGCAAGGCTTCGCACATTTAGGTGTAGAGGTTTAGGGTTCAGGGTTCAGGGTTCAGGGTTTAGGGTTTAGGGTTTAGGGTTTAGGGTTTAGGGTTTAGTGTAGAACCCACGGGAGGTGTACTTACAAAGCGACGAGGGGGTAAGGGCTCTCATAGCATCCGAGCTGGGTCAAATTCAGTTGCACCCTGAATCCCTTGTTCTTTTGTTCCAGTCTGTTCGTGAAGTCAGCCTTTTGCCGCCTGCCTGCATCGAGGGGCATTGGCCAAGAGGGTTGTACCCCGATAGTAACAGGAAAAGGTAGCTCTCCCTGCCTCAGTCAGCAAACTAAACGCAGCAAAGCAAAGCGGCCTTTCAGCAAGGCCCATGTGCGAAATTGCGAGGTAGCCAAAGTCTACACAAACAACCCTAAAGTGATCGTGCAACCTCAGCCAACCTCAACTCCTTGAACTGCAAAGTTCCTATGATGCCTCGGCCTTTTCTCTCTGGGCAAAGTTGTGCTTGAGCCACCAAAGTGGCAGATCATGAGTAGGGCTCATCTGGGGAGGAAAAGTGTGATTATAATTTCACACGCCTCCTTGGACTAAAGTTGCTTTAACTTTCGTCCACACTCAATCACACACCCGCTTCAAAGTACGAACCACAATATCAGCAAACAAAGTTCGAAGAAATGTTTTACTCGAAAGTCGGGGGAATCAGCTGATTCGCAAAAGCTGCCATCTTCAAAGTGGCTGTTAAAAAGATCGTTGTGCTCTTCAAAGTTGTGGTGCTTGCGAAAGGTATTATGAATCGGCCCAAAGTGCAGCGATTCTGGCTGTCTGAAATACCAAAGTGCCCAAAGTCGGCATATCGAAATGCAGCGACTCGAAAAGTGGCACATTCCTTCACATCCTGGAGCCACGACGCAAAGTGGGGATATCCAAGTGCATCGGCGCAACGCCCTCGTCTGGAAAGTTTGAGAGCTCTTGGTACAGCCGAGATAAAAGTGGGAGGTGCATAAGGCGCGAGTGCCTGCAGTCAGGCCTGTCAAAGTAGGTGTTGAGATTGTCACAAAGCTCGTACGGGTGAATGCGGTGCAACAAAGTGACAATCGTTCGGCAAGTAGGCTCCCACATAAAGTTCAGGCTCTGAACTTTGAGAAAGTAATCCACATATCGCCTATTCCATAGACGATTTCCATTGATGGTGATTAACCGAGTAAAGTCTTGTAGCAAAAGTCGGACTCCAATCGTGATCAACTGCTCTCCTGGCATAAAAGTCACACGATCAAGTCCCTGTTGCAAGGAGATAGACAGTCCAAATGACCAAAATAAAAGTGACGATCTCGGAGACAAAGTGAGGTTCAGGCAATCCACCATAGTTCCCACCATTGCTGCAGATGGCAAGACAAAGTTTCCTGACCTCTGAGCTGCAGATGCAACCGTCAACCAAAGTCCTGTAGGTAGAGTAAGCCACAGCTGAAAAGGAACCCAATCCTGCCGAAAAGTGGGGCGTTCCGGTGTCCAGAACCCCACAAAAGTCCTCTGCAGCACCTCCAACTCAGGAGGTGTATAAAGTCCCAAAGTGGCCGCATACTGGATCAAAGGATAAAGCTTCTGAAACATTTCCGCCGGCGATGAAAGTGGCAGATAAAGTTGCTCCTTCTGCAGCCCATTCCACAAGGTTTCAAGAACCAGCTGCAGACTCAGCCACGTGCGATACGTGCTAAAGTCCACGTCACGGCTCTGAGCTGGTGTAAAGCGATCCATCGCCTCAAAGTCTGCTGCGCGGCTCCACCGCGTGCAAAGTTGCGAGAACTGTCTCTGGACGTCTCACACCTTTTAAAGTGCCATGGCGCGCGGGCGCACAAGAGCATCAAAGTGTTTCGAGAGAAGCACCAGAGGGGCGCGAGGCAAAGTAAACCACAAACGCCAAAGAAACCCCGAACACCCCGCAAGGTCAAAGTTGGCTGGGGTCGAATTTATGTACATTAAAAGACTAAAGTTAAAATGCGCCTGAACAGCGCGAGTTCGCGTGGAGAAAGTGCGCGCGTTCGCGCGTGGCGGCGAAGGTTTCGTGCCTGAAAACTGAAAAGGTTGCGCGCGCGTACGCGAGCCGAGTGCGCCGGATGCGCTCGAAAGTGACATGACTGAACATGACTGCAAAGTACACGTCTGCACTGCACAGCACTGCAAAGTACATGTCTGCAAAAGTGACATGTCCGCACAAGACAGCACAAGTGACATGGAAGACATGAAAAGTGACATGACTGTACACACACACCAAGAGTGACATGTCCGCAAAAGTACGTGTTTCTCTCCTCTCACACTCTCTCTTCTTTCTGTCTTTCTCAAAGTGGAAAACCAAAAGTAGGCAGATGCCTGTGCAAAGTTTCTTTGGGAACATACTTCGTCAAGATATCAGCTGGGTTCAAAGTTCCCAACACTTTCTTTACACGCACCATACCTGAGGCAACAAGTTCTTGAACGTAAAGAAAGCGAAGCTCCACGTGCTTCGTCTTACGGGATGCCCCAAAGCGCGAAACTATGCTTTTACCAACGTTGGAGTCGGTCCAGATACAAAGGTTTGCTTTCGGGAAAAGTTTCGCCTCCTCGATCAGAGACTTCAGGAAAAGTGCATCAGCGGTTCCTGAGCCTATCGCGTACAGCTCGGCTTCCCCACTCGAAAGTGCCACCGTGGCTTGCGTCCTACTGTGCGACAAAATGTTCGCACCCAACATGAAAAGTGACACACCCGAAGTGGATCTACGGCTGTCTGCGCAGCCAGCCCAATCGGAATCCACGTAAACGTTGATGTCTATGGCTTTGTGTTGTGGGGAAAGTTGTAGGGTAGGTTGGAGACGTTGCGAGAAGTTCTTCGTACCAGCAAGGTATTTCAAAAGGTGCTTGGCCTTGGCTTCATGCTCTGAGGTCGGGGCTGAAAGTCCTCGACTGAGCTCCTTTACTGCATACATGATGTCTGGGCGTACACTCGAAAGCCACAAAAGTTGGCCTACGATGCGCCGGTAGCGCTTGTGCGCTTCCGCGTCCAGAGGCTCAACATTCAACTGCTTTCGCAAAGTGTCTGTGCCCGGAGCAAGGACTGGCTTACAACCTGAAAGTCCCGCCGTCTCAAGCATACGATCAATGTACGCAGGGTTCATGCCAACAAGTATGGCGTCGTTCGTTCTTTGAAGCTCACGGCCAAGGAAAGTCACCGATTGACCTTCGTCCAAAGTGCCTGTCATCTTCAACAACAGGTCTTTCTGCAAATCCGCAACCGAAAGTTCGACATCTGGCTTTGAACCAAAGAACATGAGGTCGTCAACATAAGCAAGCACGTAAAGTTGCTTGGTCTCATGCACATAAAGGTTTGGGTCTGACTTGACCCTGCGAAAGCCATTCTTCTTCATGACTGACGCAAAGTGCTCTTGCCAAAGCTTTGGAGAGTGCTTAAGACCATAAAGCGCCTTCTTCAACTTCCAAAGCGTGCAGCCATCTGGGTAAAACTCGAGCGGGGGTATGACGTAAAAGTCATCATCCACAGCAGCGTGCAAGAAAGCTGTGGAAATGTCACCCACTGCTATGTGCCATCCTCTGGCTACAGCCAAAGTAAGCAAAAGCTTCAAGGTGGTGAGCGAAGGCGTCGAGGCGAAAGTCTCATCCTTGTCATTGACTTCTTGCGTGTAGCCTCGAACTACAAGTCGACAGCGCACAGTGCCGTCGGACTTGCGGACCTTAACCCACCGCGTCGAAATGACCTTGTCTAAAAGTGCTTGGGGAATGTCCTTGTAGTGAACTTCTTCGAAAACATCGAAAGTCGTCATAGACTTCATCTCCTTTTTCATCCCTTCTACTTCTTCAACGAGCGGAAACTCGGTTTCATACCACAAGTACGGGTTTTCCAGGGTCTTCATCAGCAAAAGTTCTTTTTCATCCTGGTTTATTGCTACAGGAACTTCAAGGTCGTTCTTGGTTGTGACTGCAGCAACACGAAGGTAACAAAGTGGCTTGGGTATGCGCTTCCTACCGCTGTAGAAAGTCACCGCGTTGATCCTCTGCACCTTAGTCGTTCCAACGTCAAAAGTCTCTGTGCTACGCTTGGTCGGTGACGCGGGCGACTCGTCAGAAAGTCGCGGCCTCGAACCAGGGGGCTGAGGCAAAGCTGCGTCTGTACTCGACCTTGCTTGCGCTGCATTTGCAGTTTGCTCATCCAAAGTCAAGCGTGGAGGCTCAAACTCAGGCGGAGGCAAGGGCGGTTCTTGCTCTACATCAGAAAAGTAATCTTCCGGAAGGTCCGAAAGATCGTCACGAGCCGGAACAGGCTCTGTGCCATCTAAGCCCAAAGCTTCTTCCAACTCTGGGTCTGAAAGTTCATAGTTTGGCACGTCATTGCCTTTTTCAGGAGGACCAGAAAGTTGCCCAGACGGTGGCAAAGCTAGGTTTGTCGCCTCCTCGGACTGCTGCATCGGAAAGATGAAGGAGTCCGTTTCCACCTTTGCACCGGTCGGGTCCCAAGGACGCGCGGTAACCGACTGCAAAAGTGCCACGTCTGACTGCTGGGTGGGGGGGAGGCGTTTCAAGGAACGCGTCTTGTAAACCCCGCGAGAGTCAGCGACAAAGTGTTGCTCCGACTCTGTGTCTTTTCCAAGCCAAACGCCACGCTCAAAAGCCGGCTTGCCTTTGTTGACACGCTGTTTTCGGAAAAGTACGGTCTCTCCAAAGCGGCATATGAAGCCGTTGTACCGCTTTCCCCAGCGTCTCTCAAAAGCAGTAGTGCCAGCAGCGTTGCAAAGGTAACGGTTGACAAGCCACTGCGCGTGGCGCACAAGCCAAGTGAAAAGCGCTGAGTGAACCGACAGATCAACTTGGTAACGCTGCAAAAGCTCAAGCCGCAAAGCCTTGATCTGTCCATACAAAGTTGCTTGCATGTTTCCAACGGAACCCTGAGCTTGCTTCCAGCCTGTCGGGGTACTCCGCAAGGAAAGTCCACCGACTTCGCCTGTTACAGCTTCCGCGATGGCTTTCAACGCTGGCTCTGGGTCGCATTGCAAGATTCCGAAAGTACGTCCGGTTTCTAGAACAAAGCGTCTCAACTCTGCATGGGAGTACGGTGTGCGAGCCTTTGTGGGAATCACCACTGAAAGTGCCATGTTCGAGAGAACATCGACAACGTTAAGTATGGTGACCTGTTCCTCACCAGGCTTATCTGAAAGAAAGCTAAAGTCCATCTGCAGGACGGGCTGTCTCAACGAAAGTTTCTTACTGTGAGCCTGCCTGCTCTTAGCTTTCAAACAAATTTCACACCACGGCTTGAACGGCAAGTGAGTGAGCTCATGCTCCAGCCTTTCTGTTAAAGTTGGCTCGCCGGGCTGCTTCAAGCCCTTCGGCCTCTGAGCCAAGTACTCTGGCTGAGCTGGCTCTGCTTCAAAGGCTTCAAGTGGCAACTTCTCAAAACAAGTAGCGCCAACAAAGTCTTGCGTCACTTCCTGCGTGCCGTATTTGCGCCACAAGTCAAAGTGCCACGTTGGCTCTGCATCAGGACGCATGATCAAAGTCATGCGCGCATTGCCCAACTCTTCTTCAAAGTGCGGGTCTTCTGGCACATACAAGGTGTTCCGAGACACGTAGTGAACACGAACCCAAAACAACTGAAAGTTCAGCCAACGGTCGTGCGTGAAGGCTTCTCCAGTTGCAGGGTCCTTCTCCGAAAGCTGTTCCACCAGGGCCTTCTGGAAGTCAGGCAAAGTGCCCGAAGCGGCCTGCGCCAAACGCAGACGGAAAGTGTCCTCTGCGGAATGGTCCTTTGGTGGTCTAGGCTTTTCTGCTAAAGTGTCTTGCGGTTGTGCAAGGGCTTTTGGGACAGGTTGGGGAAAAGTTGACTGCTTGCCAGCGAGTCTACGACCCGTGGATTTGGAGGAAAGTTTAAAGACAGTACGACCAACAAAGCGTCCAGAAGACTTCCCTTTGGGATCCTTAGACGTTCGCCAGTTATCGTGCAAAGTTTCTTTTCTGCCATCTTCGTACGTAAGGTAAGTGACACGCTCATCAGCTAAGGACTCGAGCTCGACTGGCCTATCTTTCGTCCCTTCAGGAGAAAAGAAAGTCGCTCTAGATCTTTTGTGGATTCTTGTGAGGGTGTTACCCGAAAGTTCCCAACGGTCAGCATTGTAGTAAACAGGGTTAAACTGGGTTGGAGCAATCAAAGTGCCGTGTTCATTAGAGTCGTGAAGAAGGTTGCAAACTTCAACAAACTCATCCTTGTTGAAAGCTCCCAAAGTAGGTCGAAGGAACAAAAGTGACCCTTGTCTGACTATTGGAACTTGGCTTCCATCAGGGGTTGAAAGTACCTGAGACTCTCTTGTCATCGTCACTTGAAATCCTTGTCTCAAAAGTCTTCCAACCGAAACCACACAGTACGGTACGTCGCATACGTAAAAGTGAAGAAAGCAAGGCTGACCGTCAAAGTCAAGCTTCACAAGCCTTCTACCGTAAACCGTCAAGGGTTGACCCGAAATGGATCTCAAAGGCGGTGGCTTCCCTGAAAGTGGCAAAAGCGGCCACTCCGAAGCAAAGTCCTGAGGACAGCAATGGGTCGCTGCTCCTGAATCAAAAAGTATCCAGGGCTCATTCTCGTCAAAGGTGGCTGCAACCAAATGTTCCTCCAAAGCATGATCCCGGAATGTTGTGTTCAGGTTCGACACTCCAAGATCGTACACACTGAAAAGTTTCTGAGGCACCGAGTCGTTTCGGTTCAGCGAAAAGGTTTCCAACGGCGCCATGCCAACCGACGAAAAGGTCGCACGCTTCTCGCCATACGAAAAGTCAACATCACCAGTCAACATGCCTTCAAAACCAAACGACTGACCAACACCAAAGTTGCCAAGCACGAGTGCCGACATCAAGAACGAGCTCGGGGAAAGTGAGCTCTTGGCCTTAGGTTTGGGCGCTGCCTTGGAAAGTCCTGGAGGGGCTGTCATAGTGACAGCTGAAACTGGAGCCTGCTGAGCTCCATGCTGCAAAGTTGACTCTTCCTTAGGCTTCTGAGGCTGTTGCGGTGACAAAGTCTCCTTTGAGGAGGTGGCTTCAGGCCACCACTCATTCCAACCTGCAAAGTCCTGATACGAATACCAGTCCCAGGAATCCCACGAGGAATCCCAAAGTGAGTCATCCCATGACTCCCAACTCTCATCGAAAAGTGCTCCGACTGTCCACTCAGACCAGTCGTCCCAAGGGGCCTCACCAAAGTAAGACTCTTCTTCCTGGAGACCGTAAAGTTCACTCTCTTCTCCCTCAACAGCATTCACTCTGTTCAGCGGACACTTGCTAGCAAAGTGACCTGACTTCCCACATGTCCAGCACAAGGCACTCGAAGATGCCGAAGCACCCGCCGACGAACCAAAGTTCTTTCCTTTGCCTTTGCTTTTCCCTTTCAAACTTCCGAAAAAGTTCCAGTGGGGGCCTTTCTTGCCTTTTCCTTTGCCTTTCATGGGACCAAAGTCCTTTCCTTTTCCTTTCTTTCCTTTGCCCTTTCCTTTTCCTTTTCCTTTCTTTCCTTTGCCCTTTCCTAGATACCCAATGTCCATGGGCGCTTGTCCGCCTCCTGCGAAAGTGGCCGAGGCAGAGGTCTGCGCTAACGGATTCACCAAAAGTCTAGACCTGTAGTACTCCAAGATGACCTCGCGAACCTGCTCATACGTTTGCAAAGTTTTGGCGTTCAAGCGAAGATGCTGCTGCAAAGCTCCTGTTGTCTTGTTCAGCAAAGTAGCTACCAAAACACCATCTGGCAAAGCTTGACCTGCCTGTTTCTCGTACTTCACCTTGATTGTTTCCCAAACGTTAAAGTCCTGCTCAAACGTGTTTGGACCAAACCTGAAATCCAAAAGTTGCGTGAGCAAAGCTGTCGACCTGGTTGCATCAGGCAAGGCAAACTTGTTGAAAAGTCTTCTCCAGGTCTCAAAGCCATTCGACCCGACGTTCTGACGAACGACAAGTTTCGCCGAATCCTTCACAAGCTGGGAAAGTAGATAGTGCAGCTTGCGACTGAAAAGTACACGACTACGCGTTGCATCAACATCCACATCACCTGTGTCCAAAGTTACTTCAAGGTGTGCATCTGTGAACTCGGTTGTCAAAGCTTCGGCATTGTCGAGCAAAGTCACTGCGCCTGCTTCGAACATCGAAATGTACGCTTTAAAGTTCCATGACCATTCTTCCCAGTCTGCAGGCTGACCGGAAAAGTTGTCTGGGAGAGGAAGCCTAAGCTTTCCTGCAAAGTCACCATCTTCTCCTAAAGCTGCCATTCTACCAAAGTCCTAGAGCTTTCAGCTCCGCTACCATGCGAAATTGCGAGGTAGCCAAAGTCTACACAAACAACCCTAAAGTGATCGTGCAACCTCAGCCAACCTCAACTCCTTGAACTGCAAAGTTCCTATGATGCCTCGGCCTTTTCTCTCTGGGCAAAGTTGTGCTTGAGCCACCAAAGTGGCAGATCATGAGTAGGGCTCATCTGGGGAGGAAAAGTGTGATTATAATTTCACACCATGAAACAAACAAACAAGGAAGGCTAGGTGCACGTCAGAATCGAGTCCACCGGGGAGCTACGCGACAAACGGGGTTTAGGGTTTATAAGGGTTTAGGGTTTAGGGTTAAGGGTTTAATTAGGGTTTAGGGTTTAGGGTAAATCCAGTGGTTGCCACTACCGCCAAGTGGCCATTTGCAGGAGCATTGGGCCTTGACCTTCCAGCATCGCTCCTTCATTGCCAGCGCCCGTGTTCAATTTGTTGGAGACGACGGCTTGCTGCGTCTTGCTAGACTCGGACATGGGTCTTCTGCCCCAGCCGCAAAAGGCCCTGGGATCCCAAACCGGCCGCATCCAGCCAGGACCACAGCAACTCACATGGACAGAAGCTTCGTGGGGGAACCCCGTGGGGAATGCGGAGCAAATGTCCGAAAGAGGACGAGCATTCCCAAAGCTTCCTCCACTTACAACATATTTTGATTTCACAAGAGGCCATTCCTCAACCTCACTCGGCGCCTTCGCGGCAGTTGTTTGTGGTAGGCACGTCTTCCCAACAGGAGCTTTGCTGCTGATCCATTTGGATTTGCATGCTGTATGGCTGAAGGCTGGGGTAAGTTCACGTCCAGCTAAAGCAGGCGCCGCATCTCTGGCTTTCTGTGTGTCCGGCTGACCCCACCTCGCAGCTCCGCCGGGCCGCCATGCGAACAGCCTGCAGCAAGTGCTCAGAAAGCCATACCCAAGGAGTATTGGGTCACGGGCGATGCATGCCCTTTGCTGGAGGGTCTGGCCCAAGACCTTGAACATGAAACACTACAACTTTACTTAGACTTGGTGCTTGACAATTTCGCCTTGCACTTTTTAAGGGTGGTTGACCCCACTCCTACCTCTGTAAAACACCGTGCCCTCGATTTTCAGAGAAATGTGCACCTGATGTTGGTTGTTGCAGCCCTCAATTGTTTTGCCCCGTTCTTTTTCAAAATCTGCACACGCCTTTTAAACATCACCACAAGAGCTGCGTGCGAAAAGAGCTGTCTGGAGTGTGATCCACGTAGAACTCTCATGTATGCGACAGCATTTTCCACCTTGCATTGTGTGCAGTGAAAGGTGTAGAAGATGTGCACTAGATCAGCTGGGTTCAACCCTAAACCCTAAACTATATATAAATACGTATGTATGTATGTATCTATCTATGTATGTGTATATATATATGTATACACATGTTCACAGTGCTAGTTTCATCGTCTTAGTTTTAGGTTTAGAGAGTCGAGCTTTCGGGTAGAATATGTAGAGTGTGTATAAACTATGTTTGCTTGTCGCAGCCCCAAGTCTGCTTCGACAAAAGCGCCACCGAGGCATGCCCCGAGTTTGGGGGTTTGGGGTTTAGGGTTTAGGGTTTAGGGCTTAGGGTTTTAGGGTTTAGGGTTTAGGGTTTAGGGATCTGCGTCGGATCTTGCCCTTGCAACCACCACCGCACCACACAAGTTGGTCTCGAGGGGACAGGCGCATGCAACGTCAAGCGGGTGCCAAACGGAACGACACCTGAAGGGAGCAAATTTTAAGAGGCTCCTGAGTCGCCTCCTTGGGACCTTTTGAAAGGTTTAGGGTTTAGGGTTTAGGGTTTAGGGTTTAGGCTTTAGGGTTTAGGGTTTAGGGTTTAGGGTTTAGGGTATAGGGTTTAGGGTTTAGGGTTTAGGGGTTTAGTGTTCAGGGTTTAGGGTTTAGGGATCGTTTCCGAAATTCGGAGTACCTTATTGGGGTCCTTGTGAAAAGGGAATCCTACTACTAGGGGGTCGTTCTTTGGGGGTAAAACCCCCCCCATTTTGTATTTAATGTGTCGCCTAGATGATAAGCTAGATTTCTCGAACTTGGCTTTAGAGATGTTTCGACACACAAGGGGCCGATGATCATTGGCAGGTATATCGCACCATTCGACTTTGAATGGTCGCCTATATATGAGGGTTTACGAAAACAGGGTACCCGTTTTGGTGTTCCCTTTAAGGGGCTTCTATTCTATTTGGGGTATAACAGGGGTTCCCCTAGTTTGGGAAATGCCCATATTCACTGAGGAGGTGGCTTCGTCAGCGTGCGTCCGATTTTCGCGTAGCTCTGCTGCTGCGCCGTTCCGCACCCGCCCCTCCGCGGTCGCGGTAGCTCTCAGAGCATCCTTAGTGATTCAGGGTTTGGGGTTTGGGGTTGAGGGTTTAGGGGTTAGGGGTTAGGGTTTAGGGTTTAGGGTTTGGGGTTTAGGAAACCTCAAGCCTTCCCTACCAATTTCCATCCAAAAGTCTATTCTAAGCCCTTGATGCGAAACTTGGCCTAAACTTCCGAAGCGTCTCCTAAACCCTAAACCCTATAGCCCTATAAACCCTTTAAACCCGTTAAACCCTATAAACCCGATAAACCCTATACACACTACAAGCCCAGTAAATACTATAAACCCTGTAAACCCTATAAACCCTAGAAACCGTATAAACCCTATAAACCCTATGAACCCTAAACCCTATAAACCCTCAATCCCATCCACAAGACCCAAAACGCCGCGGCCTCGAGAGCGACGAGTCCTGTGAGCTCGAGCCAACACTTTGGCCGCCTTGCCAACTGCCGAGTGGGGTTTGGGTTTGGAGCCCATGCCCTGAATGCACAAAGAGTCAGAATTTAGGGTTTGGGGTTTAGGGTTTAGGGTTTAGGGTTTAGGGTTTGGGGTTTAGGGTTTAGGGTTTGGAGTTTGGAGTTTAGGGTTTTGGGTTTAGGGCGAGGGATCTGTAGTGTTGATCTATCCACAGCTGAAATCTTGAGCGTCTGTGCTGACGAATCTCCGTCATGATGGCAATCGCGGATGCCGTCCCTAGCGGCGAAGGACCTCCGACTCCGGCTTCGGCGACGGGCGCAGTGAGGGTTTAGGGTTTAGGGTTTAGGGTTTAGGGTTTAGGGTTTAGGGTACATGAGGTGTGGGAGCCTTCGGCGTTAATTGCTTTGGCTCTGATTATGATGACGATGGTGATGATGCGGATTACACGACCACTCTAATTGGCAGCTAAAAACCCTAAGCCCTAAGCCCTAAGCCCTAAGCCGTAAACCCTAAACCCTAAACCCTAAACCCTAAACCCTAAACCCTAAACCCTAAATCCTAAACCCTAAACCCTAAACCCTAAACCCTAAACCCTAAACCCTAAACCCTAACCCTAAGCCCCTTGTTTCTGTCTGTTCTGATCGTCCTTATGCTGATTTCGACAGCATGCCTCCCCGTGCCCACCAAAGCCTGCGACGAGGTCCCTGAATTCCAAACTCTTGGGAGGGTGCCCTTCTGAGGGTTTAGGGTTTAGGGTTTAGGGTTTAGGGTTTAGGGTTTAGGGTTTAGGGGGAGGGACAGCTCAGTAGAAAGCTGCAAGACAGCCTGCCTAGTATCACACCTGTTGCCCTTCTGACGGTTTAGGGTCTAGGGTTTAGGGTTTAGGGTTTAGTGTTTAGCACCTTATTCAATACAAAAGGATACTTCCTCCCTTGGGTTTAAACTGAGGCGCCCAAAGCCGTGTGCCCCACAAGCGCTTGACGCCACTCCGCACGGGCAAAAAGGCATGAGAAGGCATATCACAAATATATATATATATATATATATATATAGATATAGATATAATATATGTATATATATATATATATATAGATAATATATATATATATAATATTCATTTATTCCCCACCCTCGGTGTGGGTTTCTAGAATTTCAACTAAGCTCTTCTCCGCACCCGGTCTACTCATCGGCCATCACTCGTATCCCACCCCAGAGGATGCCTACAAAATCCCTTGGAGTGCCCAACCCCACACAAAATGCCTGGAGTGCCCAGCCCAAGGGTATATTGAAAGAGTCCCTGGAGCGCCCAACCCCACAGTATCCCCAGAGAATCACTGGAGAGCCACTCCACAAAGTATCCCCAGAGTCGCCATGGAGTGCCCGACCCATCACACATTTTCAGCCCTGCGAAGCCAGAAACTCCCCAACGTCTGTAATGACAAGTCTCACGGCTGAACTTCCCTAAATCCTAAATCCTAAACCCTAAGCCCTAAACCCTAAACCCTAAATCCTAAACCCTAAACCCTAAACCCTAAACCCTAAACCCCAAATGCCATGGCGAGGTGTAGGCTTAGTTTAGGGTTTTTTGAGCGCTGCCACTTCTTCACACACAGCCGACGACAGCTCTGCCATCTGGGGGCAGATAAGAGGAGGACTCACATCTAATCCCAGTTTCTGTTAAAGCCTTGTTGTAAAGAAATAGGACTATTTACATCAAGAATACTAAATACAACAATTTTGGCTTCGAGCATTCCGGTGCTGCGTGCCATGGGAGTCTGATTCATCAGCGAACTTATATATATATATATATATATATACATATTTCGTTTTTGGGCGTAATTATGGCTCATGGGCGAAATACTATGACCACCCCTACGTTGTGTTCGATTTAGGTGGGCGCGTTGGGTTTAGAAACCCTAAACCCTACAACCCTAAACCCCAAACCCTCGCAACGCCTACGGGCCCGTTGAGCCTTCAACCGCATCCAAGAACGTCAAGCTGTGATTTCGTGGATCTGAGAACCAGGAAGACTACACGAACAGGCTCTCCAAACCCAAAGCCCGTATATTTTAGGGTTTAGGGTTTATAAGGTTTAGGGTTTAGGATGCCCGAAACCCTTCTAGATGAACATTTCACACCCTAGACCAAAAATTCGCCCCTCAACCAACTTGGCCGGAAAGCCTCCAAGCGAAGAGCCCCTCTCCCCCTCACGCCCTGAGTACAGGGACGGCCAGCACCCCGGTAGCTGCCAGAGCTCCGCGGCGCGCTGCCCGCAGGTAGCCTGCTTAGTAGCTGAGTGAGCACACCTTACACTTCTTGGGATACGAGAAATTCCCCTGTAGAACTGAAAGTGTACACCTTTTGGGGGGTTTATGAACTCAGCAACTAAGCCTGTGGTCTGGGGCTGAGGATTCGACATCCCGGTCTTCAGGTGTACGGGTACGGGGACTCCCACGACACTGCAGAAATCTTCGCATCAACTGTAGAAAGGATCTCCAATCGCAGTCCTGCGGTCTCGAACTGCCCGACATCCCACTACAAGCTAAGCCCTGTGCCCTTCAAACTTCGATCCAAGCCCTAAACCCTAAACCCTAAACCCTAAACCCCAAGCCCTTCAGGCTCAGCCCCAAATCTTCAAGCCCTACACCGCTAACTCCCCAAACATCTCAGGACCTGGACCTCAAATCCCTAAACCCTAAACCCTAAACCCCTCTACCAAAATACCCCCTGCAGACCAGGCAATCATGGCCACCCCCGTGGCCAAGCAGCTAGAGACGGCGCCACTGCCATTGGGTTCAGGGGCTGTGGGTGGTTTAGGGTTGTCGGGTTTCGGGTTTAACTGTGGGATGAGACCCGAAACCCTACAATCGTGGATTTTTCGGAGCTTCGGGTTCCGGGTCCAATTTATTGGGTTTGACCCCGTGGTTGAGGGAAGCTTTTTGGGGTTTTAGGGTTTAGGGTTTATATAGGGTTTCTGCTGCGGGGGTTGTGGCCAAGGTGCTCTACTGGGTCCTTTGCGGTGTCCTACCTCTCCCAAATAAGGCTTGAACTCCTCTAAGCCCTAAACCCTAAACCCTAAACCCTAAACCCTATGTAAGGAAGTCGGACCCCCTCCCTTACACCCCTGGCTCCTTACCAGTCTGAAGCGTGGTCGGGGTTCAGATACTGCGGGAGGCGGGAGGTTTAAGGTTTAGGGTTTAGGGTTTAGGGTTTAGGGTTTAGGGTTTAGGGTTTA